GGAGGTTCTTGGGATCAGTTCTTGCCACTAGCGAAGTTTGCCTACAACAACAGTTAGTAGTCCAGCATTCAGATGGCACCGTACGAGGCCTAGTATGGTGGCGGTGTAGATCCCCAGTGGGTTGGTTTGAGCCGGGTAAGGCTAGATTATTGGCACAGACTTGGTTCAGGACGCCTTGGAGAAGGTTAAGGTGATTCAATATAGATTCCGCACAGCCCAGTCCAGACAAAAGAGTTATGCGAACCGGAAGGTTCGTGATGTTTCCTACATGGTTATAGAGCGGGTCTTGCTTCAGGTTTTGCCTATGAAAGGCGTTACGAGATTTGGGAAGAAGGGAAAACTGAGTCCGAGGTTTATTGGTCCTTTTGAGGTATTGCGACGTGTTGGGGAGGTTGCTTATGAGCTTGCCTTACCTCCCAGCTTGGCAGGAGTTCATCCGGTATTTCATGTGTCGATGCTCCGGAGGTACCACGGCGATCCGTCGCACGTGTTGGATTTCAGTTCAGTCCAGTTGGACAAGGATCTATCTTATTTTGAGGAGCCAGTGGCTATATTGGACAGACAGATTCGAAAGCTGAGGTCAAAGAGCATTGCGCCAATGAAGGTTCAGTGGCGGGGTCAGCCGGTCGAGGAGGCGACTTGGGAGACCGAGCAGGATATGCGCAGCTGTTACCCTCATCTTTTCACCACTTCAGGTATGTCTCTATGCTCGTTCGAGGACGAAGGAATGTTTTAAGAGGGGGAGGATGTAACGATCCGGCCGGTCATTTTGAGAATTAACGCCCTGATCCCCTATTAACTGCTTTTCCCATGTTTGTTTCTGCTATTGTGAGTTGTCGGGAAGATTGTTTTGAGTTTTAGAGTGTTTTGGGAAACATAGTCCCTAATGAGAGCTTAAGCTTTAGAATTTGGACCGTAGTCGGAACAGTGTGAAGACGGCTTCGGAATGGAATTCCGTCGATTCCATTAGCTCTGTTGGGTGATTTCGGGCTTAGGGGTGTGTTCGGATTGTGATTTGGAGGTCCGTAGCTTATTTAGGCTTGAAATGCCGAAAGTTAAATTTTTGAAGTTTTCGGATCGATAGTGAAATTTTGATATCGGGGTCGGAATCCGATTCTGGAAGTTAGAATAGTTCCGAAGTGTTGAATGTGACTTGTGTGAAAAATTTGGGGTCAATCGGACTTGGTTTGGTTGGTTTCGGCATCGGTTGTAGGATTTTTAAAATTTCAAGTTCTTTAGGCTTGGATTGGAGGGTGATTCGTGGTTTTAGCGTTGTTTGAAGTGATTTGAGAGTTGGACTGAATCCGTATGATGTCTTAGGATTGGTTGGTATGTTTGTTTAAGGTCCGGGGGGCCTCGGGTGAGTTTCGGATGCTTGAAGGAAGTGAATTTGGACTTGGGCAAATTCTGAAGTTTGCTGCTTTTGGTATTTGCGCACCTGCAGTGAGGAGCCCGCAGGTGCGGCCCGTAGAAGCGAGGGAAGAGGTCGCAGGTGCGGTCTGGGGCATGAAGACCAGTGGTCGCAGATGCGACTTAAGAACCGCAGAAGCGGACCGCAACTGCGTAGAGTGAGCGCAGGTGCGGCTCCTGGGGATTTAATGAAATCTCGCAGGTGCGGGTCCCCAGCCGCAGGAGCAGGACCGCAGATGCGGCCCCATGACCGTAGAAGCGGAAATCACTGGGCATATATAGAAAATTTGAGAGTTTGAGATTTCATAACACAAAAATCGAATTGGAGCTCGGTGGGAGCCGATTTTTCGAGGGGTTTTGAAGGAGAATCATTGGGTAACGAATTCTAACTCGATTTTGACCTTAGTACTATAATCTATTGTTGTTCTCCTCTTCTAATTAAGGAATTTGGGGGTAAAAGTTTGAAAATGAGAGAAAAGTCCCCCAATTGAATATCCGAGTTTTAAGTGAGATTTTGACATCGGATTTTGATGATTTTTGTTCGAGTGTGCTCGTGTGTGATCGGGTGTTCAGAATTTGTATTCCGATTCCGAGGCGTGGGCCCGGGGGACTTTTTGGGGCGATTTTCCTAATTTTGCATTTTAGCTTCGAATTAATTAGTTAAATTAGTTCCTTTAAGTTATATTTACATTATGCAATTAATTTGAATAGAGTTGGACAATTTGGAGTCATCCCCCTGCATGTTTACTTTAGGACTACTTTGGGACTACGGGACGATATCCCGGGAGATCCCCCTGCATGTTTACTTTAGGACTACGGATCGGTATTCCGGGAGATCCCCCCTGCACATTTATATTTGGGACTACGGGACGACATCCCAGGAGATTCCCCCTGTACTGAATAATTACTTCGAGACTACAGATCGGTATTCCGGGAGATTTTCCTACATATTTATGATTTGGACTACGGGACGATATCCCGGGAGATCCTCTGCACATTTACGTTTGGGACTACGGGACGATATCCTGGGAGATCCCTGTTGCTATCTCTATATTCTGAGTTATTTCTTTCTGTGACTTTATTCTTTATCGACTGTTAGTATCTAAAATATACTGTCACATTTCATACTGCTTTATCTGCTATAGTAGGGCCCTGACCTTCCTCGTCACTACTCGACCGAGGTTAGGCTTGGCACTTACTGGGTACCGCTGTGGTGTACTCATGCCCTTTCTTGCACATATTTTTCGTGTGCAGATCTAGGTTCTTTTGCTCAGCCGTTCTATCAGTGAGGTGGGCGATATCAGAGACATCGAGGTATATCTGCTACGTCCGCAGACATAGAAGTCCCTCTCTATTCTCTCCTTTAGTTTTGGACTTCATGTATTTACTTTTGATTAGACATTCTGGAGTTTGAACACTATGTAGTTTTCTCTAGCTTGTGATTTCATGAGATTCCGGGTTTTGGGAGTTTTTGATTTAGTTTTGAGAGTGTGTATTGTATATGCCGAGCGGCATTTTAAACTCTTTTATTATGTTTTAATCGTAACTTGCTAGTTTCGTATTTTATTTTCCTTTTTCCGCCATTTGCTAGGCTTACCTAGTCGTAGAGATTACATGTCGTCACGACAGTTCATGGAGGGAGAACTTAGGTCGTGACACATATATCTGTCCGTAATCTTTTAGACGGCTGAAGATATACAGATAATATAGGCAAGCTTTGATTGGTGTTTGGTGTAATTAAAGTAATTGAGTTACTACTACACAAAACTACTACTAGTACTACAAACAAACAAACAAAATGATTGTGTCTAGACGTAATCATGTCTACTACCGAAAATGATCGTGTCTAAACCTGATTATGCATATTGTATATAATTTTAATACCATTTCACGTGTACTAATCTTTTTCTTTTAAGGATTACAGTAATAGTAAAATAAATAATACTCAAAACTAATTTATGAAACATATTATTTTTTGTAATACAAAAATCTATTAATAGAATAATAACTTTTGAAATGCTTCAATATTAAGAAATATATCATGTAAATTAAGAATGGAGGAGTTGTTAATACTTATCAAGAATTCCTCTTAACTGTTAGTTTAATTGCGGTTTTTCAAGGAAGTTTCATATTTCTTGTCTTTTGGATTTTGCTTCATGGACTTACTTATAAAAGTATCAAACCAAGTATGACAATTTCAATCTTCATTTTCCCTAAATTAATTGACTTTAAAAGTCTTGCCGTGTACCAAATCGTTCTTGAAGGTTGATGTCTGTTTGAGTTGAAGTTGAAGAGCTCTGAGTAAATATTATAGTTTGACTTCGTTAGGACCGAAAAGATCAGGTGTCATGCTGAAGCTAGTAAAGCAAACCTTGAATGGTGATAAATCAGATAATAAAACGAGAATTATACCAAAGAGACACAAACATTTAACGTGGTTCGGTCAACTGACCTACGTCCACGGCGGAGATGAGCAATCCACTATATAAAAGAGAGTACGAAATATCGAGAGAACAACCTCACGAATAAGCATCCACAATGTAGCCATATGGGGTTTGAGAGTCGTGTTTAGGGAGAGAATTTTACGGGACAGGTGTTAGTGTGTCACTTGTTTGCCCTCCAAAGTTGCCCTATTTATAGATTATAAGTGATTTTAACTTCGATTTGAAGGGTTTTCCATGTTAAAATCTGGTGTTCTTTATCTTCTTTATTTTCGGGTTTGCCTCTTCCTCGACATAACATACTTATAGCTTGTTTGGATGGTTGTTACCTATTGTATTATATTGTATTGTATTAGTATTACTTTCACTACTGAAAAATTGGTCTACGGCAACGGTTGAAAAACCGTCCCCACAGACTACCAAACCGTTGCCGTAGGGATTTTGGAACGGTTTACCGCCCGTCACATCAGCCGGCGTACCCATAGGTCTACCGGAACGGTTCTTGCAACGGTTTGCATCGCTGTAACAATAGATATGTCTATCGCAACAGTTTTCCCCTTCTCTATTGGAACGATTTTTTTTTCAATTGGAACGGGTTTTTTTTTCAATTGGAACGGTTTACAACCCTTACTATATTGTTTATACAACGGTTTTTAACCGTTGCCATATTATTTAAAGCAATACTTATATAAGCTATTGCTACGGTTATGTTGGATATAGCCACGGTTTCTTTAAGCTATCGTAACGGTTATATTTGTATTTGGAACGGTTTGTAGATCATTTTGGAACAATTTGTGGAACCTATTGCAACGGTTTACATTGTCTACTGGAACGGCATTAGTATCCTATTGCAACGGTTCTGGTAGGCTATTGTATTAGTTCAATTAAAACCAAAATATAGCACCTGTTATAAATAAATATTTATACATATAATAAATTATAATAACACTAAAATTTAAATACATCATAAAATGAAACTATTAATAATATAAAATTATCCATCAAGCAAATAATAATATCCATAAAGCAAATGTTCTACCCCATGAGTGCATAAGTTTAATATATTTCAACAGGGTAAATAAATTTCAAAAAATGTTGGTAACAAAAGATTCCTAGAACATTCATCTATAACAATTCAAAATTATCTCAAGTAAGGTCTAGTTCTTCATCGTGTTCATCATCCATTTCTTGATCTACTCCACCTACAAAAGAGGATAAATAAAGTTATTATCCTTCAAGAGAATCCGGTCTAAGAATACTCAGATAGTGCTGGAGTCTTTACTTACTCGTTCTCATATCACGGTTGAAAAAAGTAAGGAAAGAACAAGAAGCTTGCAGTTTCCAGAGACATGAGTATTTCTAAAACTGATACTTCAAAACTTCCTACAGCGAACTACTTTAAACCACTAGGTTAAGCCAAGTAGTTGTGGTACCTGATAGCCAACAACATTCTTATTTGACAATAATGAATCATTTTCAAACAATCCTGGTACTGAAATTTGACAACAATTTAGAAACAACAAATATATTGCTAAGCAAGCTAATGTCGATTTAACTGAACGGTGAAAATGATCAATAAACAACATTTATCAACAGTTCTTTCACTACATTTCAGTAATAACAACTTAAAAATCATACAAATGTCCTTGGATGCATAAAGAAATTTGAATTAAAGTATTCTTAATAACTCAATATATTTAAAATTGGAACTAGCTAGTATTAGTTACTTACTTCTGCACAGTCAATTCGTAAAGACTTAATGATTTGCGTATATTAATGGTGAACATTATCTCTTGGCATTCTTTTCCAATTGCACTGTTGAAATCTTGTATCATTTCTATGATATTATGCTTATGCTATTTCTTTTTCCATGCTTTATGCAGGCAGACAAGAAAGTGTAAAGAGGCAGGGAACTCACTGAAGAATATGCAGGATACAATTTTGAGAATCTTCTCTTCAGTGTTTGTAGGTTCAGAGAGCTTACTGCCACATATCCGCGCAATAATACTATAAGCCTGTAAGGCTTCTATATATGTTTTGCCTACATCTCTAGTAGCTACAAACCAAATACGTGTATAATTTATGTAGATAAAAAATCTAACATATCCGCTAAATGTTATCCGATTAGAAGTTAACCATGTCATAATGGCCACAATCACAAATATACAAATAAAATGAATTACTAAGTATGACGGAGATAGATGAAATGGAATGCATATTCTTTCCATTATTTGGTTTTCCTAAAAATTTCCCTAGAGGATTTGCTTAAGTTCTAAGTGCACCAAGTGCTGATCCTGTAACTACCCAAAATGGAGTATCTAGGAATGATCAGGGCAATGCAGTTGACCATTCATCAGAGCAATGCAAGTCTCTCATTCATATGGTTATAAATGATGTGAACCTTTGACGTATATCTGTCAGTTATAAGAACAAATTGTGGGGAAAATCTGCCTATTATATAACCTTACTTATATTTAATTTACAAGAAAATTCTTTTGCAAGAAAACAAGAATTTCATTCTGCTTGTGCTTTTTTTATTTTTAAGCTATAACATTCATCATTTTGTCTAAATGTGTCTGTATGTTTGGTTGTGAATATCTAGGGGATGCCAAACTCTTTGAAGAGGATGTCATTAAATCTTAGCTTCAAAGACTAGTTCTCTTCCTTTTCTTAACAAGACACAGTGCATAACAACTAAGAATTCTAGGTTTTCTTCCTAAACAAGTGTCAAACTTCATGTCTTAAACCTTATGCAAGCGATTCATGTATTAGGACCTAGACACATGGATAATCTGAGATAATAGGGTCAGGAACTACCAAAGGCTAAGCATGAGATTCAGAGTTATCAATATAATTCCAAATAAACAACACATCATGCCTCGTTAGATAACAGTCCACTCAAAAGGTTTCAAGTATGTAATCATAATAACAGTGCTGTAGTTACCTTGTGAGGATCGGAGTTTCAATATTTAAGAAGTTCCTTAAAGTGAGATTTCGGAACATCTAGTGGCCTATTCTCCATTCGAAGCTCATTATTCTCATAGGCTGTGAAGTGGGTTGTCTTCAATTGACTCTTAACTTTCTCCAAGCACTACAAACTGCTTCAAAAACCCATTTCTTCGCCTCGCCAGGAATGTCATATTTTTCCTACAAATTTAGTTCAATTGGGTTAGTGTAAGAAATAAGAAATATCATCCATATTTATTGGACATTGGGAACTTCATACCTTGATATATTTCCACATATCATCTTTTGTGTCTAGTTTCCTCCAATTAAATACATTAAGAGGACAAAAAGTCTCACTCCTTGCCAACGTGCCGAGGAAGCTACCCAACTCTTTTACAACCTCCTTAGTAGGACCAACGGGTTGATTAAACTCATTTAGAATGATTATTTTACGCTCCTTTCTAACATGAACACTTGGCATTTGAGTACGACCTCTTTTTCTCTTTGGCGAGGAGGGGCCTGCAATAGTACAAAACAAAGATAATCATTAATCACTATATTTAGTTAAGTTTATGATTAAAATTTATATATATTTGCCTTGTTCCTCAAATTGTTCAATTGCTTCATGATTGGTAGAATCATTAGATCGTTCATGTACTCCCTGTGATGCAGGAGTGATGGAATCCATATTCGCTTGTTGCACTTGTTCATGTACTCCTTGTGTTGCTGAAGAGGTGCAATTCTGTGGCACTTGCTGCACTTGTTCTTGCAATTGAGATCCACCTTTGGATTGTCGTTCTTCATTTGCATTTGACCTTATAGCTTTCAATACTGTTTTTGTTGTCAACGACGAAGCAAAGAGTGTTGCATGTAATAAGTTCTGCCAAAACCAACATACAGCAAAGAATCATTTACCTCTGAACCTAATCTTCAAAAAGCTTCACCTGAAATTTTTCTAAGTTCTATAGTTGCTATATAAGTCTCTTCTCTGCCAAACTACCTTAAGCGCAATTCAAACATTCAATATTGTAATCATGTTTTCTCTTTCAAAATTGCCTTCAACAACATTAGTGCTATCAGCATATACTACTTTGACTGCTTCAGCAGTTCTAGTTAGAACTTTAGTCTCTGAAGTTCAGAACATGACAAACCAACTCTTACCCAAAAATCTCCAAGACAAAAACTAAAGGGTGAAGATACAAGATTAGGACGCAACATAGTTTTCAAAGGCATAAACTAAAGCAACTAGAAAAAGAATCTTGAGCAGTCTCCTTTCATTTAGGTATCTTAAATCATGTTACCACAAGTTACAAAGAGCAAAAAGCCAATTTGAGCAGCGTCCCCTATACTACTCTAAACATTTTACTCAAAATCAAGGATGACCTTACTGTACCAGCAAGAAGACTTGTAACCTAGATTTTGCAGTTGAACTAGATAGTTTCTTGTCTGTGCCACATATTCAACATCCTCTGTTTTAAATTTCCAATACCTTTGGCTAGGTTAATAAGGCAACAATCACACAGAATCCAAGGTTCTATTATTAAGATATACCTCTGGCAATTTCCTAATTGTACAAATAACCTATCCCAAAGCACAATTTTGCACACTAGTACACCAGAACAAGTTTTTGATGATTCTAAATATAGTCTTACCATTAGTTCATTGGATAAACAAAGAGTAGAAACAAACACCACAAGATTCTTATAAAAAACCCTCAGTAAAACAAACACCGCAAACTAGTTTGAATATCGCGTTATCCAAAAATGCTAAATCAAAAGAACCGGTTAGGAAGGGCCCATAAACAGAGCCCAGATATCCTATGGCAAGGACTACCATATCCACATGGGTAATGATACAGCTTTTGGACATTGTTAGGAACCAAGTGGAAATCTAACCATTACCAATGTTGATACTCTCTTGAGGTGGTTTTTGGTAACTAAACTGTAATGTAATCGAGAAATGAACAGATTTTTTCTTTGTGTTAGTTTTGATTTTTTTTTACCTACTAAATAGAGACATTTAAGTCTTTCATGCCACTCAGCTTCTCTAAATTGTATCTCAGATAATCAAGAAACTATAATTCAAGTAACAATAAGAAAATCCACTTGAAATATCAGATCACAAACACATATTCCCTCTAACTATACAATGAACAGAACACAAATTAGCAATATTTATCCAGAGATGAACGAAAAAGAGGAATCTTTACTTTGAACATTTGAAGCAGAAGCAGAGTTGAAGAAAATGCAGAGAAGAAGGAACCTTTGAGCCATTGTCATTTCTATGAAGTTGTCGGCGGAGTAAGTGAGCTTTTCTTGAAGGTATATAAGAGAATCAAATCTTTGAATCCTCTAACATATACTTAGGTTCTATAGTGTACCCTTCTGTTGAAAGGGTCAAAAATTCCAAGGCAGAAAAAGAAAAGAAATTATTCAGTCACTAACAGCAAAGATGAGAAAATCATTTACACATTTGAAGGAGTGGAACTCATTTGGTAGCTGAAAATTATGAAAACTCAAAAGGCTAATTGTGATGATGGCTACTGCTCTACAGAAAAAGTGGAACAGAAATGGTTTGAACTCAATTTCTTAATAGACAGAAGGTATCAGCAGTGCAAGAGAAGAAGACTGGACTCTGTGATCGACCTACTGATGCAATTGAAGTAGTTGAAAAACCTACAGGTTTTAAAGCTTCATATGTGCGTGATGAGGAGAAAGATTTTGAAGGTGTTGAAGCTTTGGATGGTGCAACAGCTAAAGGCATGAAGGCAGTGATTAAAAATGGTAACCATCACCAAAAACATGTAGTTCATCGTGCAACTGCTGGTGCAAAAACAGCTCTGTTGTAGGCTAAAGCTACTGATGTTTTGAATGGAGGTGTAAAGGGTGATAACACTGCTGTGAAGAAGGCACAAGAATGGACAATAACATCCAGTACAAAAGGAACTCCAAACAATTGTAAGATGCAGCAGATTGAAAAGATTTCAAGAGACAATAAAATTTCTAACAGATTTCCAGATAAAAATGCACAAATTATCCAGAGCTAGCTTGACGTACATACATACATCCGTCCATCTCAGGAGATTCATCCAACTTTTATCACCATTATCCATAGATATCCTATAGGATAAAAGTAAATCAACAAAACTAACCAAATAAACCAAAAGATTATCATGTTATTCTTGCAAAACGAATAGCTACCACCAAATACCGTGGTGGTAAGACCATGATCTTTACATTTTCTACATAAGAATAACACTTTCACTTTATTTATTAACAAATGTTGTGTATATATCGTTTGATTTGTACGATTATTATTCACATATATGTGTGTGTGTATATATATATATATATATATATATATATATATATTCTTTATCTGATTTTATTTCTTCAAGATACGTACCAGAGATTAGAGAATTGGTTCAAAATATACTCCTATAACTTAACATCTATACCCATTTTTTATGAAAAGAAATTAATAACCTAAATGTTAAAAGACATATATTCTGTCCCTAACAAATGAGATCAGTAATCAGAAAAATAAGACAAAATAACATCCTACAATATAATAATAGTGTGAAAATTCTTCACTATTTGTGCATACAGGTTGAACAAATCATCAGATTATAGTAGAGAAGATCATACGAAGATTTGACCTAAAGTGAAATCATATACACTGCTCACACCATAAAGCTTAAAGAAAAAAAGAACCATTATAGAAGATAATACCCAAATTACAAAGGAAAAATTACCTGAAGTTGATTTCTCACTGATTGCCTTTTGGGTCGAAACTTTCTCGCGATTTAAAATATTTTCTACACCTTCCAGTGAAATAAACAGCAATGACACAAATGGAGTTTGGGACTTAGGGGATTTTGGAGTTTTGGGTTAGCAATCGAGATTTGATGAACGTTTGCTGGTGATTTGCTGGTTAGAAAGCGAGATTTGAGGACTTAGGGGATTTGGGTTAGCAATAGTATAAGGTTTGATGAGAGTGAGTTTAGCAGACGCAGAAAGGAAGGTGACTGCTAGCGCAACGGACTTTGGGGATTCGGGATTTGGGTTAGCAATGTCGAAGAAAATATTCTTGGAGAATTTAGGTTTGTTGAGAATTTAGGTTTGCTGAGAGGAAGGTGAGAATGAGAGTACCATTGCTGCCAAAGAGTGAGGAAGGTGATTTGGGAGTACTGAGCATTGGAAGTGTTTTAATTTAGTTATTATATTTACCAAAATAAAATATAAAATATATAAATAAAAGGGAAAAGGGGTTATATTGGCGGGTTTAGCAAAATTCAGGGGGAAAACGAGGAGGGAATAAAATACCCGTTCCAATATTACAAAAATTTCTAAAATCATTACTACAAATAGGCCTATTGGGACGGTTCATCAAACCGTTCCTATAGAAAGACCTATGGCAACGGTTAACTGTCAACTGGAACGGTTTAGTATCTAAAGTGTGCCGGTTTCATCCAAATTCTATTGTAACGGTTATAACCGTTACCGTACCTACTCTATTGCAACGGTTTAATAACCGTTGCCAGAACAACTGTTCCGGTAGGCCTATTTTTCAGTAGTGTTTAAATACTATATTTATTTTAATTGTTACTTAAATTTTATTGTATCGTACTGCTAAATCTGCCATTACGTAATGACGAAAAGTGTCATTTTATGGAACGACTGATTTGGTGTGGCGGTATCGTTACCTTACTTTTTTCTGTCAGCTTACCTTTCCTTATTGTTAAATAATCATATTTTATCTTTTATCCTACTTTTTTATATAATAATTTTACTCTGTATATTGTATATCTTCTTGATGTTGCAAGTGTATTTGGTGCGTAACATCATAAAACGACGGCAAATGCCATAATCGATCTAAATGTCGTATCATCAAACAATACAGTATAATACAATACGATACATTAGGAAACGATACGTAAAAAACAATATAAACAAGTCGTACACGCGTTTGTCTTCATTTCAAGTGGCGTGGTCGCATTTTGCTTCTTGCTTCTCCGAAAAGCAATTTGGAAAAAATATAGTTTTAACTTCTATTCTCGGACAATAGAAAAGAATATTATATTACTAGGTTCATCTAAATCAAAGGTAAATCTAAAATTGAAATTCCATGGGCTTGACATTATCCTACTGCTATTTTGGAATTATAGATTCGTAATTTAATATTCATTGAAATTATTAATAAATTATTATTAAATAGTTATCTATACTCTATGTCGGAGCGACTTGAACTTCTAGCAAACATGCTACTCGCCTCTCTTCTGAGCTAAAAGATAACTACATCAACAATAAGTGTGGAATTAATTACCAAAAGAGTAGAGAAAATAACACGCTAGTATAACATGTTAAATAACATTCATTAATATAAAATTATTTATATTATCATTGTATATAAGTTAAAGCCAAGAAAATATAAATATTACTGCACTGTTTCTTGTCTCTCGAACAAAGATATATGTTAGTTTAGTATATATACATGTACGAGTATGAAAGTCAACTCCGCATCCACGCCGCTGTTTTCTGCTTAGTTACTGCCTCTTTTTAGTCATCGTATACCGGTTTAATTAGGTAGAGGAATTTCTGTAAGACCTTTGGAGATCTTAATTAAGACAATCTTTTTTCGTAGTTCAACGTAAAATCTAGAAGCTGTAAAATCTTAGATAAGACTTTTCTTTGAGGAGAAGATTACAGATAAGGCAATGAAACAATGATAGTATTAAGTTAGCCAAAAAATATGAATATTAAATTAAAGAGATTCTGAATTCTCCTCCTATCTTCTGTATTGTTTTAACTACAAAGAAAGCAACAGTAAGTATAATTTGCTACCGATCATTATGTTCGCTGAAACACTGGGGTTTGAAGTACCGTTACACTAGTGTGTAATTCATTCTATCCTGGGAGGAAATAATCCACAACCTCGGGTACTAGGAAGGGATTAAGTTCCTTAAGGAAACACTGTGAATTCCGTGGGCTCGGATTAAATTCTGTTTCTACTACATTTCTGTTTATACGTTATTTTATCTTCTCCAGAATTATTTTACAAATACAGTTTACTAACAAGTTTAAGGAACTTCATTTATTTTCTGTATTTGTGTTATACTAACTGTTCTGGAGACTAAAACCTTTATGGTTTTCTACTCCCGTTTTGGAGATTAAAGCCTTCATGACAATTTTCTACTCCATTGGAGATTAAAATCTACGTGATTTTCTACTCCAATTTTATTCGGTTTAAAGATATAAAACTTAGCCGTTTATTAAATGTTTGTTTGTGTCATTCTTTTACGGAAATAACGAATGACAACGGAAACCAGACTGTTCCTATGGTGACTGCCAATGCATCGACAAGCCGAACAACATCGGCATTGGCACCGGCAGAAAAAACCTGATAAATTTTTCGGGACTGATTTCAAGCGGTGGCAGCAGAAGATGTTCTTTTACTTGACGACTTTAAGTCTACAGAAGTTCATTAAGGAAGATGTTCTTGTTCTGCCCGACGAAACTCAAGACAATGAACGCTTTCTTGTAACTGAGTCGTGGAAGCATTCTGATTTTCTATGCAAGAATTACATTCTTAGCGGACTGGATGACGATCTGTATAACATCTATTGTAATGTGGAGACGTCAAAAGAACTGTGGATTGCACTTGAAAGGAAATATAAAACTCAAGATGTCAGGTTGAAGAAATTCGTTGCCGCTAAATTTTTGGATTACAAAATGGTAGATAGCAAGTCTGTTATTACCCAAGTCCAGGAATTACAAGTGATTATTCACGATCTCCTTGCTGAAGGTATAAGTCGAATTAATACTGATGTTGAAAGTATTAATTATATTATTTTATTAACAGAATTTTCATTGGGTCTTGTCATCAATGAAGCATTCCAAGTTGCAGCGATGAATGAGAAGTTTCCTCCTTTGTGGTAGGACTTCAAAAACTACTTGAAACACAAACGCAAGGAGATGTCGCTTGAAGATCTCATTGTTCGATTGAGAATTGAAGAGGAAAACAAAGCTGCTGAAAAGAAAGGCCGTGGAAACTCAACAATAATGGGAGCAAATATTGTTGAGGATGCTCCTCAAAATAGAAAGAGGAAGAAGGCTTCTGGACCGAAAAGCAACCCTAACAAGAAGCGGTTCAACGGAAATTGCTACAACTGTGGGAAAGCTGAAAACAAATCTGCAGATTGTCGTGCTCCAAGGAAAGACAAGAAGAAGGGTCGAGCAAACATGGTTGAAAAGCACGAAGATATTGATGACTTGTGTGCTATGCTTTCTGAATGCAACCTGGTGGGAAATCCTAAGGAGTGATGGATTGATTCTGGAGCCAATCGCCATGTTTGTGATGTTAGAGAAGCGTTTGCTACATATGCTCAAATTGGACTCGAAGAGACGCTTTCTATGGGAAATTCTGCAACGGCCAAAATTGAAGGATGTGGCAAGATATTTCTGAAAAATGACTTCTGGCAAGGTGGTGACTCTGAACAACGTCCTTTATGTTCCCGCTATTAGGAAGAACTTAGTCTCTACTGCACTTCTTGTTAATAACGGGTTTAGGTGTGTTTTTGTATCTGATAAGGTTGTAATAAGTAAGAATGAGATATTTGTAGGAAAAGATTACCTCACTGAGGGCCTTTTCAAACTGAATGTAATGGTCGTTGAGAATAATAAAGTTCCAGCTTCTTCTTACTTACTTGAGTCAAATGATTTATGGCATATACGTTTGGGACATGTCACTTATAAAACCTTGCGGAAAATGATTAATTTGGAAGTATTGCCTAAGTTTAAAAGCGACAACTCAAAAATGTCAAATATGTGTGGAATCTAAGTATGTTAAACATCCTTATAATTCAAATCCTTTAGACTTAATTCACACAGATATTTGCGGCATGAAGTCAATACGATCTCGCGGTGGAAATAAGTATTTCATAACTTTTGTCGATGACAGTACTCGATATTGCTATGTTTACTTACTTAATAGTAAAGATGAAGCAATAGACGCATTCAAGCAATACAAGAATGAAGTTGAAACGCAACTTAACAAGAAAATCAAAATGATAAGATAGGGGTGGTGAATATGAATCTCATTTTAAAGAAATATGTTTAGAATATGGAATTATTCATGAAATAACGGCCCCTTACACGCCCCAATCCAATGGGATTGCGGAAGAAAGAATCCTTCATTAAAGGAGATGATGAACGCATAGTTGATAAGTTCTGGTTTGTCACAGAACTTGTGGGGGGGAAGCCATTCTGACAGCTAATCGGATACTAAATTGAGTACCCCAGTTCCATATGAAAAATGGAAATGAAGGAAGCCCAACTTGAATTATTTTAAAGTGTGGAGGTATTTGGCAAAAGTGCAAGTTCCTAAACCCAAAAAGGTAAAAATAGGACTGAAAACCGTTGATTGTGTTTTTATAGGATATGCGACCAATAGTAAAGCATATCGATTTCTTGTTCATAAATCAGAAAATCACAACATTCATAATAATACGGTTATAGAATCAGATAATATTTGAAAATATATATCCGTATAAAAAGGAATGTGAGTCGATTGGTGAAGGATCTATGCGACCTCGGGAAGAAACAAAAAAAGTACATTTAATCAGGAGGATCCAAGACGTAGTAAATGTCAAAGAACGTCTACTTTATTTGGACCAGATTTTGTGACTTTCTTATTGGAAAATGAGCCTCAAACATTTAAAGAAGCTATGTCTTCTTCGGAATCATTATTTTGGAAAGAGGCAGTCAATAGTGAAATAGAATACATATTGAACAATCATACATGGGAATTGGTTGATCTTCCTCCTGGAAATAAACCATTGGGTTCTAAATAAATTTTTAAGAGAAAAATGAAAGATGATGGCGCTATTGACAAATATAAGCCAAGAATTATGGTCAAAGGGTATAGACAACAAGAAGGTGTTGACTATTTTGATACATACTCTCCAGTTACAAGAATTACGTCCATACGAACGTTAGTAGCATTAACTGTAGTTTATGATCTTGAAATTCATCAAATGGACGTTAAGACGGCCTTCTTAAATGGAGATTTGGGGAAGAAATCTACATGGAACAACCCGAAGGGTTTGTGGTTCTAGGTAAAGAAAAGAAGGTATGTAGACTTGTTAAGTCCCTTTACGGACTAAAACAAGCACCCAAACAATGACATGCGAAATTTAACCCAAAAATGTTGTC